ATTCAACCCCAAAACTATTTCATCTTCAGTGTTTTTTTTTTTTTTAAATCCACACTTGAATGTCGGGCATTTTCAAGAAAATATGTAGTTTTCTCAAAAATCAACTGGAAGAGTAATGTCATGAGACATGTAACAAAACCATAAAGGGACCCAAGTAGAAGAAGAATTGATTTTGCACTTGTCCTGTGCATTTGACCCGAACTATTAAGGGATGGGTACCGAACTCCAGTATTGAATGAGCCCCAGGGCTACATTCTCCAAGACCGCAGTACTGATAAGCTCTGACCTTAACGGTTCTGCTATCGGAACTTGAGCAGTCAGTTTTTTTTTTTTTTTATACAAGATAAACGTTATCTTGCACATTTATCTCACCAACTCCGTCAATTATCCGTCATTGTATCATAATTTTCTCTATTCTCCCTGAAGACGAGAGATCTGTGTTGCTCACCCTGGCTGCCTGCTGTGTGTGAGTGGAGAGAAGGGGACGGGGCTGTTGTTCCAGTGACACACACACAGACACACGCACACAAGACAGCGCACGCACCAACTCAAGCTCGTAGCTTACCTTTAGATAGATAACGATGGCGGAGAGAGCCAAACGGTCAAAAGTGTGGCTTTACATTACAAGAGGTGATGCAGACACAGCGCGTGGCGGCAACGCAAGTAATTTGTCAAAACACCTTGCGAAAGTGCATCATATTCAGACGTACAGGGTTTGACGGCCCGAGTACAGCTAGTTCATTTACGTCCAGTCCAGGTTTGTAACATTATGCTAGCAGCCAACACGAAAGGAGCCTTTCACATTACTCTTTGTGGCAGGTAACGGTCCACAAACCTCACTGCACTTTAGGGACTGTTCGTTACTTATGAAGGGACTGTTCTTTACTTGTCAGGGGAGGAGGGTGGCTGGTTGATTTTTATTTTATTTTTTTATTTTATTTTGATCCCCCCTATGTTAATCACTTATTGATGCTGTTTTTGAAGTATGAATAAGTCAATAAGTAATTTATTCCACTGAAAGATCATTGATGTATTATAGAAAAGTGATTTATCTTTTATAAATGACAAAAGGCACATCTGCCTCATTTTTGCTGTGGTATTGTGATACTACTCAGAACCATGATATTTTCACTGGTATCGTACCGTGGGTCCCAATTTTGGTACCGTGACAACACTATTATTTTATGTATTTTACATTTCAAGTTGTAAAAAGTAAAATGTTTTGTTAAAAAACTATTTTGTTGCATAATGAGAATTGAGAAAATAAAGCAATTTATGATCTTAATTTGTTTTTTTCTTCCTCAAAAAGTATCGATAAGAGTACCGTTAAAATACCGGATCGATAAGCAGTATTGATAAGAGTAGTAGTACCGTTAAAATCTTAACAATACCCATCCTTACTAACTATGTAAGAACAGTGGTGCTATCCAGACCCTCTGCGCTGTCATCAGCACAAATTATGTCCCTATGTGATAAAATCCACCACCTTTTTTTTTTACAACTTGAGTACTGGTCCCAGTGCAACAGCATGTGATCTAGAGGGCTAAATACAATGGCAAAGAGCAAAGTGAACCTGGAGCACTTTGTGTTCACATTGCACAGGTTAAGAGAACCGCATCGCAGACTTGAAGCAAACCATATTCAGACCAGTTTCTGAGGTGGTCTAAGTACAATTCCCTTCAGAAGGGTCTGAGTTCTCTTGGAGTTCTCCCATATGCGCAAAAATGCCGAGTCACTGCTCTGAATCCATTTAGAGGACTAAAAAGGACCAAGTGTCAAAACACCCTAAGACAAAACAGTTGGTGTTAATACTCTTAAAGTAGAGATGAGCAAATGCAAAAGACTTGAGATCTATCTCTATAAGCAAATGGTCATAAATCACAACCATATCATTTATAATACAATTTCACAGTATTTGAAATGAGTACACAGAAGAGGATGCTTTCAAAGTTTATATAAATGTACTAAAACAGCAATGAGCAATAGACAAGTCCATCCAGATACAGGTCATTTTGATTTCTGTTATCCTGTATATCCATGAAATGCTGTGCTTACTAATTAAGAACAAAGTATGGACACACTCATATTTACAAATTTATGACAAATTCAGTGTCCACAGTTTGTGTCATTTACAAAATATTTTCATTGCAAACTTGCTTTTTCAAAAATAAAAGTGACAATAATCTATGTATAAAATGATCAGAAAAAAAAACCAAACAGAACAGGCACTTTTAAAGTCAGGCGAGACTGTCTCACATGACTATAATACAATTATCTGATATCCACAAAGTCAGCAATGTCCAGTCTCAATTGACCAAAAGAAAAGGAAACATAAAAAAGTGTAATATATTTTCAACTTGTCCTTTTTACAACAAAACTTCAAAGCAGAATATTTACAACCTTATGCATTAGCCATCTGTTAGGCCTCCATTTCTTGAGTATGAGTTTACCCGAGCTTTTTAAAGTATACATTCCTGAAATAAGTCACGAATTACATTCTCAATACAGTTCCATAGAAACCAAGGCAGCTAATAGCATCTGTTTAGTGTGAAACTATAATTTAGAGGCTTAAGGATTTCATTACTGTTAGATGCCCACTTCATTTTCTGTGAACTTCACCTTGCTGCAAGTCAGCTGGCACATTTTCTTGCCCTTGTTTGATCAATGTGCTCTCATTGCCTGGACCTATGGTTACCATGGGGCATCCGACTGCTTGAACTGGGACTAAATACTGAACACCCTCAGTGTTCAGTCTGGGTGTTATGTTACTCACAATGTCAGGACGTATAGCAGGTCCTTGTGGTTCTGCCAGGATGTAACACTGGACATACTGGTTTTGCAATCCCGCCTGCAGTCCAACAAAGTTTGGCAAAACTACCACTGGCATATACCCAAGGAGTCCTGTAGCCACATCTGGGACTAAGTGCTGAGCATCTTCAGTGTTTGACTTTGTCTTGACATCATCGTTATGTTTTTCCTCTGTGTCTGGTTCTGGTTTAATATTGCCATGATGTGGATTGTACTCCTCTTTAATCTGTGCGTTTCCCGGGAGAGGACTGTCACAACCTTCACTCACTGGACTCCCACTCAATGGCACTAACATTTCAGTGTCTGGTTCTGATTTCATATTGCCATAATGTGGCTCATGCTCCTCCTCTTTCTTCTGTATGTTTCCCTGGAGAGGACTGCCACTACCTACGCTCAATAGACTTCCACTCATCTGCACTATTGTCCCAGTGTCCAGTTCTGGTTTCATATTGCTATACTGTGGATAGTACTTCTCCTCTTTTGTCTGTATGTTTCCCTGGACAGGACTGCCACAAGCTTCACTCTCAAGACTCCCGCTCATGGGCACTGCCGTCTCACTGTCCAGTTCTGGTTTCATATTGCCAAAATGTGCATCGTACTCCTTCTCTCCGATCTGTATGTTTCCCTGGAGAGGACTGTCACAACCTTCACTCACTGGACTTCCACACATTGGCAGTGCCGACCAAGGATCTATTGAGAACTCAGTGTCCTCAAAGGACCAAGCCACCTCGTTAGTTTCGACAACATTAAGAAAATCATCATCACTGGAATCTGAATGGTTTCTGCCCATTCTCTTTTTTTTGACTGGTTCTTTCCTGGAATGCTTTTTTGGTTTCTCATTATGTCTCCTGGGAGCAAATATAAATGGCAACTTGAAGACTTCATGTGGTCTGTTTCGATTCATGTCACGCTGCTTGACCATGGTTTGGACTTTGGATGTAGTAGCTATGGAAAATTCCCAGCGCCTGTAATGTTGTGAGCTAAGATCAAAGTTATAGTCAAGAATGTCAAACAGTGTGTGTGGCATGTAGTTTCCTGGGTTCTTGACTGCAAATTTATGGATCTCACACACTACAGCTCTCGTCAATAAATTCAAGTCCAGCTTCTCTTTCTCCCCTGATTTTGATGTGACATCTAGATCCAGACCTATCTCTGTGCAATGGGGAAAACATTTCCCCTTACTCTGTTGATGTGTCTTTGATTTTACGACACTTGTGTTAGGACTTGGCAGCGTGGGTCTTTTCTCCTTAGTTTGAAGTGCCAGCATCCTTTTTTTAATAGTTTCCTTCCTTTCGCTAATCTGCGTGGCAGATGCCTCAACAAGTTTTAAATGCCTGGGTTGTCTTTGTGGCTGAAAAACACAGACTTCATCCAACCATGCGTGTCCACCATCCTTGTGTATTTCTTTACTAAGCCAGACTTTGTTCCATATATCTACAGGCTGCAGGCTCATGTTGAAGTTGTTTTCAATGATTGCACAAATGGTTTTAAGTTTTGACCCACACAATTTTTTGGCAAAACTAGCCACTTCAACGATAATCCCGCTTGTCAATACATGCATGTCAAGTTTATCTTTTGGTTGGTCTTTGTTCACACACAGGTTCAAACCTATTTTCTTGCAGCGAGGGTAGCGGTCCATTATCGTCTCCTCTGTTGCTGAGGAGGTAAGGGAAGGATCCTTTGCAGGCTTTTGTTCTATGCAGTTTGCATCTGCAGAAACTGTGTCTAGCATTATATGTGGATGAGGATGATGCATTTTTTCGGATTCATCCTGATGAAGCTTATCATTTCTGTCTTGATAGCATTTAGGGCAATATTTAGGTCTGTCAGAAATAGGTTCTTGTATGTCAGGGAGTTCAAAAGGCAGATTCATTCGAGTATTGCTACTTTTGTGCTTTCTTAGCCCTCTAACTTTTGTCCAAATTTGCAGCGTAAAAGCAGTGCGATGCAGCTCACTCTTGAAATCAAGATGAAAATTATACTCCAGTATCTCTGTGATGAAATACTTTTCTGCTGAGTGCAGTGCGTTGGCAAATGTATCCACTTCGACCATGATGCCATTGGTCAGTAACTTGGGATCAAGATTCTGCTTTACTCCAGATCCTACACTGAAATCAATGCCCAATGTTTTGCATCTGGGGTAAGAATATAATGGGCAATGTTCTCCGTGAGGTATTGAGAGGATTTGCTGCATTTGATTGGCCCGCAATTTCCACAGCTTTAAATCTAACTCTTCTGGGTATTCAGTCTTGTCGTCCATTACTGCAGCCTGGGAATATCCAGTACCACTTGCATCTAAAGTTTGGTCATTCTGGCAATCTTGATTTAGGTTTGTTGCTTTTGTGCCCTTTATTTTCAAATGTTTTGAAAGTTTTGATGATAGATTCTTTTGCTCACATACAGCAGCAACAATACTTCTGGCATCTCCACTTTGCAAATCGAAATCAAAATTGTGTCTGAGAATGTCAAGACAAATCTGCTCAAATGTTCCACACAATTGTTCTGCAAAGTTTGTCACTTCACTCATTGCTCCATTGGTCAGTTTGTTGATATCCAGTTTTGTGTTTTGTTTACGGTTGTTTACGTGTAGCTTCAGACCAATTTCCTTGCAGAAGGGATAAGGATCCACAATCATCTCTGATATATGTTCTTTGCTTTCAGTGTGTGAATCAGAAGGACACACAGGAGCAACATCACATTCTTCCATTCTTGATTCGATGCTGAGTTCAGAATTGACACTGATCATGCTCTGACTTGGCATATTTATTGACGACATGGGACCAGGAAGTTCAAAGACCTCTTTTGAGAATTTGACTGCATCTTCGCAACTTCCCAGTTTTCTTACTCTTTTCATAATTTCACATGTGAAAAGATCCCTCTGGTGTTGACTCTGCAGGCCAAAGTCAAAGTTGTACTCAAGAATCTCCATGATGAAATCCTGTTGAGATGAATTCATTGCTAAAGCAAATTTAGCAACTTCAAGCAGAACAGAATTAGTTAAAGAGTCAACACTGATGTGTTGCTTTGGGCCAAATCCAACATAAAACTTCATGCCTGCTCTCTTGGACAAGGTGAATTTACCAAACTCTTTGTTTGGTGAGGAGAGGATTTGTTTTACACGGTTAGCACGCAACTTCCACAGAGTCTCTGTTCCCATTTCCTCTTGCTCCATGTCACATTCATTTGGCACAAGAGTCTGTGTTTGCTCTTCACCTCCTGAATCTGTGATGTTCAAATCTAGATCTGACTCTCCTAGAGGACAAGTGTAGTTGCTCTCTGTTTCCATTTCCTCTTGTGCTGTGGCTTTTTCCTTGGTTTGTAGTGCCAGCTTTCTTTTTTCGAATACTGCTTTCAATTCACTTCTCCGCGTGTATGTTGCCTGTTTCCCTTTACTTGCATGTCTAAATTGTTTTTGTGGATAGTGTTGAATTACATAGACTTCACTTAACCAGGCCTGACTGCCAGATTTTTTATACTTCTTCAGCACCGCAAGGAACATCGCTGCAGGATTGATATCTTGCCTCTGCATGCCAATTTTGAAGTTGTGTTCAAGGACATCATTGATGATCTTATTTTTTGTCCCACACAGTTTCATGGTAAAATTGAACACTTCATTTATAATGCCGTGTGTCAGTAAATGCAAGTCCACTTTATCTTTTGGTTGGTTTTTGTCTACGCACAGGTCCAGACCTATTTTCTTGCAGCGAGAGTACCTGTCAATTATTGTTTCCACTGCTGCTGAGAGAGTGGAGGACAGATCCTTTGCAGGCTTCTGTGCTGTGGAGTTTGCATCAGCAAGGAATGTGTCAGTCATGGTATGTGGACGGGGATGATGCATGTGACCAGCGTCAGATTCATCCTGATGAAGCTTGTCACTTCTGACTTGATAGCATCTGGGGCAACACGTGGTAGATTCTTGTATGTACCTCAGGTCAGGGAGTTCAAAAAGCATATTTATTCGACTAAAGTTGAACTTTTTACGTACTGCTTGAATTGCATACCAAGTTTGCGTTGCAAATGCACTGCGATGCAGCTCATTCTTGAAATCAAGATGAAAATTGTACTCCAGTATATCTGTGATGAAATACCTTTGGGATGATAGCAAGGCTGTGGCAAACTTGGTCAGTTCAACCATGATGCCATTGGTCAGTAACTTGGGATCAAGATTTTGTTTAATTCCAGATCCTACATTGAAATCAATGCCAATTTTTTTGCATCTGGAGTAAGAATAAAATGGGCAATGTTCTTCATGAGGTACTGAGAGGATGTACTCAATATAACTGGCCCGCAATTTCCACAGCATTAAATTGTGTTCATCTTGCTGTTGGATGTCAGCAGAAGTGTCTACATATTGGTTTATGGTAGCAGCCTCGGAAGGACCAGCACTGCTTGCATCTAAATTTGCGCTGTTTTGGCAATCCAGTTGCACCATTGTTGAATAATCTGTTCCTGTGCCTTTTATTTTCCTGTTGAGGCTTGCACAATTTGATACATTCTTCTGCTCCGTTATGACAGGAATTCGTGCAAGAATATCTCTGGCAAGATCAGAATGTCCACTTTGCAAATCAAGATCCAAGTTGTGTCTGAGAATGTCAAGACAAATCTGCTCAAATGTTCCACACAACTTTTCTGCAAAGTTCATCACTTCAGTCATTGCTCCATTGGTCAGGTTGTTGATATCCAGTTTTTTGTTTGGTTGAATTTTGTTCACATGCAGTTTCAGACCTATTTTCTTGCAGAAGGGATATAGATCCACAATCTTCTGTGAAATGTGTTTGGTTTTAGCATTTAAATTAGGAGGACACACAGAGGCAACATCACAATCCTCAACTCTCAATTCACTGCTGAGTTCGGGATTGACACTGCCCATGCTCTGATTTGCCATATTTACTGACGACATGGGACCAGGAAGTTGCAAATACTCTTTTGAGAATCTGACTGCATCTTCACAACTTCTCGAATTTCTTACTCTTTTCATAATTTCACATATGAAAAGATCCCTCTGGTGTTGACTCTGCAGGCCAAAGTCAAAGTTGTACTCAAGAATCTCCATGATGAAATCCTGTTGAGATGAATTCATCGCTAAGGCAAATTTAGCAACTTCAAGCAAAACAGAATTAGTTAAAGAGTCAACACTGATGTGTTGCTTTGGGCCAAATCCAACATTGAACTCAAGGCCTGCTTTCTTGGACCAGGAGTATTCACCAAACGCTCTGTTCGGTGAGGACAGGATTTGTTTTACACGGTTAGCACGCAACTTCCACAGAGTCTCTGTTCCCATTTCCTCTTGCTCCATGTCACATTCAGTTGGCTCATTTCTAAGAGTTTGTGTTTGCTCCTCACCTCCTGAATCTGTAATGTCACCCCACTCTAGATCTGACTCTCCTAGAGGACAAGTGTAGTAGTTCTCTGTTCCCATTCTCTCTGGTGCTGTGACTTTTCCCTTGGTTTGTAGTGCCAGCTTTCTGTTTTTGAGCGTTTCTTTCAATTCACTTTTCCGCATGGATGTTGCCTGTTTCCCTTTACTTGCATGTCTAAATTGTTTTTGTGGATAGTGTTGAATTACATAGACTTCACTTAACCAGGCCTGACTGCCAGATTTTTTATACTTCTTCAGCACCGCAAGGAACATCGCTGCAGGATTGATATCTTGCCTCTGCATGCCAATTTTGAAGTTGTGTTCAAGGACATCATTGATGATCTTATTTTTTGTCCCACACAGTTTCATGGTAAAATTGAACACTTCATTTATAATGCCGTGTGTCAGTAAATGCAAGTCCACTTTATCTTTTGGTTGGTTTTTGTCTACGCACAGGTCCAGACCTATTTTCTTGCAGCGAGAGTACCTGTCAATTATTGTTTCCACTGCTGCTGAGAGAGTGGAGGACAGATCCTTTGCAGGCTTCTGTGCTGTGGAGTTTGCATCAGCAAGGAATGTGTCAGTCATGGTATGTGGACGGGGATGATGCATGTGACCAGCGTCAGATTCATCCTGATGAAGCTTGTCACTTCTGACTTGATAGCATCTGGGGCAACACGTGGTAGATTCTTGTATGTACCTCAGGTCAGGGAGTTCAAAAAGCATATTTATTCGACTAAAGTTGAACTTTTTACGTACTGCTTGAATTGCATACCAAGTTTGCGTTGCAAATGCACTGCGATGCAGCTCATTCTTGAAATCAAGATGAAAATTGTACTCCAGTATATCTGTGATGAAATACCTTTGGGATGATAACAAGGCTGTGGCAAACTTGGTCAGTTCAACCATGATGCCATTGGTCAGTAACTTGGGATCAAGATTTTGTTTAATTCCAGATCCTACATTGAAATCAATGCCAATTTTTTTGCATCTGGAGTAAGAATAAAATTGGCAATGTTCTTCATGAGGTACTGAGAGGATGTACTCAATATAACTGGCCCGCAATTTCCACAGCATTAAATTGTGTTCATCTTGCTGTTGGATGTCAGCAGAAGTGTCTACATATTGGTCTATGGTAGCAGCCTCGGAAGGACCAGCACTGCTTGCATCTAAATTTGCGCTGTTTTGGCAATCCAGTTGCACCATTGTTGAATAATCTGTTCCTGTGCCTTTTATTTTCCTGTCGAGGCTTGCACAATTTGATACATTCTTCTGCTCCATTATGACAGGAATTCGTGCAAGAATATCTCTGGCAAGATCAGAATGTCCACTTTGCAAATCAAGATCCAAGTTGTGTCTGAGAATGTCAAGACAAATCTGCTCAAATGTTCCACACAACTTTTCTGCAAAGTTCATCACTTCAGTCATTGCTCCATTGGTCAGGTTGTTGATATCCAGTTTTTTGTTTGGTTGACTTTTGTTCACATGCAGTTTCAGACCTATTTTCTTGCAGAAGGGATAAATATCCACAATCTTCTGTGATATAAGTTGTTTAGTTTCGGCATGTGAATGAGGCAGACGTACCAGAACAACAGCACACTCCTTAATTCTCAATTCACTGCTGAGTTCTGGAGTTACTCCAACCACACTCTGATTAGCCATATTCATTTTTGATGACATGGGTCCAGGCAGTTGAAAAACCTCTTTTGAGAATTTGACTGCATCTTCACAAATTCTCAGCTTTCTTACTCTTTTCATAATTTCACATGTGAAAAGATTCCTCTGGTGTTGACTCTGCAGGCCAAAGTCAAAGTTGTACTCAAGAATCTCCATGATGAAATCCTGTTGAGATGAATTCATTGCTAAGGCAAATTTAGCAACTTCAAGCAGAACAGAATTAGTTAAAGAGTCAACACTGATGTTTTTCTTTGGGCCAAATCCAACATTAAATTCAAGGCCTGCTTTCTTGGACATGGTAAATTGACAATAATCTTTTTCTGTCTTTGGTGAGGAGAGGATTTGTTTTACACGGTTAGCACGTAACTTCCACATGATCTCTGTTCCCATTTCGTCTTGCTCCATGTCATGTTTATTTGATGCATTTCTTGGAGTCTGTGATGGCTCTTCCCCTCCACAGAGCCCCCTTTCTTCAGGTTGACTTGCAAATGGTGGGTTCACATTTGAGTTTACAGTTGGTGAACTGGATGAGATTTCAGTGGTGGTGCATAAAGGCGTACAATAAGCAAGATAACTTGGCTCTGAGTCTCCAGCTATGTCAGAGTTCAGTGAACAACTTTTTGGGCTTTGTAAGTGATCCAGTTTGCCAGTGTATCCTGGATTTGTGACTTTGTCAGAGTCTTGATCAGACTCTCCTAGTGGAAAAGTGTGACAATGATCTCCCTCCGCTTTTTCACTGGTACACAAATCAGTGTGATGAGAGAGTGAGTTTGTCTCCATGTCTTCAAACTGTTCTATTCTGTGTCTTTTGTTTGCCCTTTCACTTGATCTTGGCAGCGCCCTCTTTTTCTGGTCACTTTTTAAATCAGACTGTCTTCTTTTCATCACATCCTTGAGGTGATACTGTGAGGCTTCCACATTGGACAGTGTTGAAAACTTAGTTCTTTTTAAGGGGTTTGTCTGGAAGGAAAACTGCTCATCTTTAAAATTTAGGCTGATTTTGGTACCAGTAGCGAGGAGTCGATTTCTTCTTCTCAGCAGGTGACATATCTTGAACCACAGTCGACTTTTCCCTTGTTGACTTTTGAGATCAAGTTCAAAATTGTGCTCCAACACATCAAGAACAATAAGGCTGTAGGATGCAGTCAGTATCCTGGTAAAGTGTACTAATTCTAACATTACTCCATTTGTCAGCAAATCTGGATCTAGACTTTGTTTCGACCCAACGTCAAGGTTCAGACCAATTCCTTCACTGTAAGGAAACAAAGGGGGAAGACAATCCTCCTGTAGTTCTTCTGCTGACTGTGCTTTTGAATACTTAAATTCATACTCATGTTCAGTGTCATCACCAGGTGCTTTGTCCATCTCTACTGAGAGGCCTTCTGTCTGTAAGTATTCTTTGGATGTTACTTGTGAACACTTGAATTCATCCTCATGTTCACTGTCATCACCAGGTGCTTCGTCCATCTCTTCTGACAGACCTTCTGTCTGCAAGTATTCCTTGGATGTTACTTGTGAAAACTTGAATTCATCTTCATGTTCACTATGATCAGTTTCATCCATCTCCACCAGGTGCTCTGAAGATGCAGTGGTCAGTCCATAGTTGCTGTTGCGTTCTGCCTTAGATGATGTGTCAAACAGAGTGAAAACTTCATTTTTATCTTTAGGAGGTTTCCTGATCAGCTCTTTGACTTTGTAATAAATACGAGCAGAAAAATCAATCCGCTGTTGTTCATTTTCAAAGCCTAAATCAAAATTGTTCTCCAAAATGTTTGTCAAAAAACGCCTTTTACTCTTGTTCACGATTTTAGCAAAGTTACAAATCTCAAGTATGACACCATTGGTCACTAACTGTAAGTCCAGTTTTTTCTGTGCGCTGGATGCTACATTAAAGTCCAATCCTATTCTATTGCTGAAATAGAATGGATCTGGACGTCTTGAATATTTCTTAACATGCATAATGCGCCACTGCCATACTTTGTTGGCGTCCATCTTCTTTGTCCTGCAGGTGTCTGTGTTGTCCATCTACAGTGGTCTAGTGTTCTACTTGGTCATCTATGTCTTCCTTTCCTGTGTTCAGTTCAGGAGAAAAAAGGACAAATGACACACTATATCTCATCTGTGAGTCATACACAGTTGGAATGTATCATGTAATATTTATCAGAGTAAAACACACATTTGATACTCATAGATTGTTAAATGTGAGGATTTGCAGGTTTGTCTCTTTCTTGTTAATTTAAAGAAGAGATTAAACACTCAACAATTATGACAGTGGTTTGTTTGACTTTTAACTTTTGCGAGATACAACACAGCTATGAAACTTGATATCCACCTCGCTTTCCTAGAAAACCTGATTGTGATTTTCCCGTTTCATCAGCTGGGCAAGGCCATCTTACAACTTAAGTCAAGTTCAGGCAGCTTTTCACTTTCACTGCTGACGTTTTGACTCCATGGGAACAGGTCCTACCACTATATTTGGTCTTAAGCCCCGTTTCCACCAAGCAGTATGGTACAGTTTAGTTTGGTATGTTGTTTTTCACCCCTCTGTTGGGGTTCCTAGCACACAGGTCTGGTACTAAAAGGTGGAGCTGTGAACACGACAGTCTGTTGATTGGTCAGTAAAGGACGGTCACTCTGCTCAGGGCTGAGTTGTGGCTAGTTTTGAGGTTACTGTTTATACCTTGAAGAGTTTTATTAGTAAACTGTAACTATAAAATGAAAGGATGTTATGCTGCCTCTTGCAGGAGATAGAGTCGGAGAAATAGTGATTGCATTTACTGGGCCGACTGCCGGCAACTTTTAAGGTGGAATGTTAACTTGTAATGTTACTCAACGCATGAGTTGACGACATGAATCCATCAGCGCAGCTTAAATTTCAATGTGACAATTTTGACCATTACTTTAGTTTTTATTGTCTCTCTTAGATGACATACACTTTAAGTAACAAGTGGATCTTTTTGTTTATATGAATTTCACCTGGGTTATGTAAACTGCATATATTCAAATCCTCACTTGGTGTCATTCCTTTGGGCTCTGGCAACACTAAACTCCTGAGCTTGCCTGAGAAGGACTGAATGCACAAACCTGCTACTTTTAAATATCCCATGGAGAGAGACTCTCACTGCAGCATGTTTTACTTTGTTCTGAAAATGTTGGCATGCAACCTAATTCTGTGGATGATAAACAGATGCAGACTTCCTTCTGTGTCAAAATACAGTGAGTGCTTGACGGAGAAGTGGGTGACAACAGCTCCACCCATATTTTAGGATACTGTTAACAGTGGAAACACTAACTGGACCTTTAGTCTAGGTACCATGTCTGAAGGGTTACTTTGGGTTCCAAAAGTACCATACCGAAAGTGTTGGGTGGAAATGGAGCTTTACTGGCTCAAAAACCATAGCCAATTATTTTTTTCTTTGACTGTGGTTCTTCTATCTCATCAAAACTCTCAAACCCTATTACATCAACACTCATTAAAAACAAGTTAAATTATAGCTGCTGCGCAGCAATGGTTGGGGCTGGACAAATTTAGGCAATTCTGAGCAACAAGAGGCAGAATAGGAAGACAACAAGAAAGTTGCCATTGTGTACATTTTGCATCAGTTGAGGCTTGAACTCACAACTCTCTGACACCAAGGTACATCTTCTATCTGACTAAGCTAATTAGCAAGTGATAGGGTTGTGCCGATGGGCGATCCCATCGGCGACAGAAGGGTTGTTTCACAATGTCTTTTTTAAATGACGCGAGGTGTGGGGGGGGGGACAGCGCGTGTGTTTGCGCATGCTGACAAGATCGAGGCTGAACGAGGCTGAGTGAAAGGAGACAGAGGGAGGCTGCTTAGTGAGAGAGCGGAGGG